TAATCACAAGTTGATTTTGCAAAATCTACGTTGTTACTATGTTTTTAACATCATTTTGAAATGTTTTGCTTAATCTTACTTTAAACATACATTTCCTCTTTTTTTAGATTTTTAAAAACTTTTAACTTTTTTTTATTGCTACAATACTCAACACTAATCGGCCGAGTTACTCGGACTCGGTCTGTGTAATCGGCTCGGGCCAGGACCGATTACTCAACCCGAGTGGCACTCTCTATTACTGATCTAAACTACACCACCGATGCCAAAAATTGCTTATTCAACTTCAATGAAGTCATTTAGAAATCCATATCTCAAATAGAACTCCATAATATTCCGTTCCCAAAAGGACCACTCAAACTTAGGCTGGCCAACGAGCCGGGCCAGCCCTGGCCCGGCCTAAGCCCAGGCATGGCCCAAGCTTGGCCCTAACCCTGTTAGGGTCAGTCGAGCAAAAAAAACTAAAAAAATAAAAAGGTAAAAATCAAAGTAAGAGAAAGCCAGGTTGAACAGCCTTAGCCCAAGCCCAACGCGGCTGTATCTTTGGGGCGTAGTTGCCCTGCCCTCAAGCCAAATTCTGGAATAAACTTTTCTTAATATAAGGACTTCAAATAATTGGAATGAGGTTTAGATGATGAATTATTATCATATCAAAAATTTTTGACTTGAAACAACTTTTCATAGTCCAACCATGGAAGATGGGCTACGAAATAAAATCTGATTGATTGAACAAATATGATTCTCTTTTTGACATGAATTAAGTTACAATTTCAAGATTTCCAAGTTCAATCGTACAATAAAACTAAAATCACTAAGAACCAAGACAAGTTTTTTTCCTTTTGGGTACTTCAATGGGGAATTCAGGCCGCCAGCTATTTTTTGAATGATTTTGGTATATCAGTAGAGAATACAAGCTTCTACCTAATTTTATTAAATGGTTAGATTGGGATTGGAGAGCACGATATGGAATTAAGATATATGGGGTGCTACCACCACAACCCCAGCCCTCTTTTCATATTCGGTGTTTAATGAAGGACAAGTGGGTTGTGGAGGCATACTGCGAAAGCATGAAGGTAATGCCCTCTTTTCATATTTGGGGCCCTCCGCGACCATGGCAGGTGGTGAATGCATAGTAATGGCCTCTAAAGTATGGAATCCAAAGCATGCAATCCATTAGTTGCATGAAATGGATAGACGAATTGTTATTGAAGGGGACTCTATAAATGTTATCAATTGGTACAAACACCTAATGTGAAAATTAAGGCAATTTATAGACGAGATTCGTTAGTAGAATACGTTCATGTCAATAGGGAAAGTAATAGTGCTGCGGACTCGGTAGCCAAACAAGTGCTTTCATTGTCAATTGATGCATACTGATATGAATCTGCTTTTGGTTTTATTTTGGTACATCTCTCATTGTACTCCTTTTAAATTAATGAATTATAATTAATGATTAAAACAAAAAGAAAGAAAAAAAAAAGAGGGAAAATTGTGGGAGAAGGAATAGGATTTTGGTTTAAATGGGGAGATGTGATTTGCTGCTGCGGCAAGTTTATTAGAGAGGAAGAATGGGAACCAAAAGAGCTTAAAAGGGATTACTAGTAATTTTTCTCCTTTTTCAAGTTTTATAATATTGTAAGCTCCATTTTTGAAGTTTTCTACGCAATTTTCTACCGGAAAATATCGAAAAAGTTTATATAAGAGAATTAAAGATGCTCTTCAAACATCTATCGGCAAAGGTTGTTTTAATATTGAAAACCTCTCTAATTGATCATCTCGACAATGAGATGTATGAATATGATAAAAAATAAAAAAAATTGAGTCTTACAAATAATGCATCTTACAACACATTATCTAGACCATCCATTTTTAAGATTTTTATATGTTTATAGATCTACCTGATTTTCATCATTTTTTGAGTTTAAAATTTTGTAATTAGATATGAAAATTTATTTTTAGATAATTCTAAGAATTTTTTATACGAAAATTACATATTATAATAAAATTTGGAGGTGCACCTTAATTGGATTGTTTGACTTTGCAACCTTATAGAAACCATACCCATTATATAAAGGGTACGGTTTGTATAGAGCCTAGGCTCTAAACAATCAAATTAGAGCCTACCTTTAAATGGTGCCGAGTGATGTGGTTTCACTACTGGAAATCTTTGTGATAGCCTTAAAATATGTTTTCATATTTATTTATAAAGTTTAAAGCTTAAAAAATAGTGCAAATTGATAGATCTATGAAAGCTTGAAAATCTTGAAGATGGTCTAAAAATACGTAACAAAATACACTATTTCCAAAACTTGAAATCCAATTTTTCCTCATGTCCATGCATCTTGACGTCGAGATGATCAATTTGAAGATATTTGGGCATCAAAACAACATCTTCTACTGAAATTTTTGAGGTAGGCTCAAATTTGATTGTTTAGAGCGTCGGCTCTATATAAACTTTTCCCTTATATAAAGGATGCAGATTGTATAGAGCCTAGGCTCTAAGCAATCAAATTAGAGCCTACCTTACAATAGTGTCGAGAAATGTGGTTTCAATATAGAAAATCTTTGTAATAGCCTTAAAATATATTTTCATCTTTATTTATAAAGTTTAAAGCTTAAAAAATAGTGTAGATCGACAGATCTATGAAAACTTAAACATCTTGAAAAATTGACGGTCCAAAAATGCATAACAAAATACACTATTTTCAAAACTTGAAATCCATTTTTTTCTCATATCCATGTATCTTGATGTCGAGATGATCAATTTGAGGACATTTGGGCATCAAAACAACCTCTCCTAGTGATATTTTTGAGGTAGGCTATAGTTTGATTGTTTAGAGCCTCGGCTCTATATAAACTTTTCCCTTATATAAAAGAAAAAAGTTTATAAATAGCTGACGCTCTAAACGATCAAATTAGAGCCCACCTAAAAAATTTTACTAGAAGAGGTTGTTTTGATACCCAAATATCCTCAAATTGATCACATGAGAAAAAAATAGATTTCAAGTTTTGGAAATAATGTATCTTGTAATGTATTTTTGGACCATCAATTTTTAAGATTTTCAAGTTTTCATAGATCTACTCAATCTACACTATTTTTTAAGTTTTAAATTTTATAATTAAAAATAAAAATATATTTTAATGCTATCATAAAGATTTCCAATATTGAAACCATATTTCTCAACAATATTTGAAGGTGGGCTTTATTTTGATTATTTAGAGCCTTGGCTCTATACAAACCGCACCCTTATATAAATGAGGATTAAGAGAATATGCATTACATAGTAATATTAAGATTTTTTAATCATTAATATAAGGAAAAATTATATAGAGCTGAGGCTCTAAACAATCAAATTAGAGCACACATCAAAAATTTCACTAGAAGAAGTTGTTTTGATGCCCAAATATACTCAAATTGATCATCTCGACGTGAAGATGCATGGACATGAGAAAAAAAATGGATTTCAAATTTTGGAAATAGTGTATGTTGTAATGCATTTTTGGACCGTCAATTTTTAATATTTTCAAGTTTTCATAGATTTGCTCGATCTACACTATTTTTGAAGTTCTAAATTTTATAATTAGAGATGAAAATATATTTTAAGGCTATCACATAGATTCTTAGTATTGAAACTACATTTCTCGATACTATTTGAAGAGGAAAGCTTTGGCCTAGCCTTTTGGAGGGAAAGGAGTGGCCTTTATAGGCTAGGGTGGTGGGATGCCACATGGTTTTTTTTTTTTTGGAGTAATCCCCTTATGGCCTAACCTTTTGGGGGGACATGAGTGGCTTCTATAGGCTAGGGTGGTGGGGTGCCACATGTTTATTTTTTTTTTAGAGTAATCCCCTCATGGCTTAGCCTTTTAGAGGGACATGAGTGGCCTCTACTACCCGTGTTTTAAATGGTTAGATTTTTTAAACTGTCGGTAAGATTGGAAAGCACGATGTGTAATTGAGGTATGGAGAATGCTACTACCACAACCCCAGCCTTTTTCTTGGGATGCCACCTCTTGAAACATTTCGAGGTCCATTCCTACTTAGGTCTTAAATTATTAGTGAGATAGAGAGGATAAGGGTCCAAACCCTTGCAACAGGTATTTCCCGAGTAAGGGGGTCACTTAGGGGTGTTCTTATTAATAAAGGTTGAGCTTTGTATTAGGTGCCCATCTTATATTATAAGTAAGGTGCCTCTCTAAATTTTGTTCGAAAATACAGTTCCAGGAAATTTTACAATGACTGGAAAATCAATATTCAACTCTACTTATATATTTAAATTAAAATCAATCTTAACTATGGATTTTGAACCTAAATATTTAGGGATCTATAATTTATACTATGGCGATCATGAAAATGATAAAAAAAATATACATTTTAAAATTTAAAAAATTAATTTTCTTTTTATTTTAGATTTTAGTTGGGCACCTTTTTGCGAACATCCATCTTAAAAAGGACGTTTGATGTTAAAGTAGCCTTTTATGAGAAAGTAGAAAATGAGGTTATCAATCTTCTATAAAATATTCATAACAGATAAATCATTTAATATTTTACCTATTTGTAACTATTTTCGGTAAAATTATTAAAAGAAAAAGTTTATATAAGCTTGTAACCTTAAAAGGTAGAATTACAAATACACCTAAAACATTTATCGAATTTTCAATGTTTGAAAAACCCTCTACATAAAAATGGTGCAACTTGCAACACATTAACTATTTTTGGAGTTTGAAATTTTTTAATTAAATATAAAAATAAATTTTAAAATAACCTTAAAAATTTTTTATAATAAAATTATATATAATAATAAAATTTAGAAGTGCACTTTAATTGGATTGTTTAAAGTTACAACCTCATAAAAACCGCACCCTTTCATTATTATCCAGTAGAAAAGTTCTATCTAATTATTTTGGTAGGCTGCACCCCTATCAAAATAAATAAATCCTCACCTCATAATTTATAAAAAATTGTAATTCAAGCATTCCGAGAACCTTTACGGACGATAGTTTAAAGTGAGGCTTTATTTTGTTTGCATAAAGCCCAGGCCTTGTAGGATATTCATCCTTTTACTAGTACGACGAGTACGCGGCACTTGCTTTCCTCTGCAACTCATTTTGGCGGCTTTCGTGGTCGGAAAATGCGTTTCTTCGCCGGAAAACGCCATTTTTGGCAGGAACGTGCTTGATGTTCGGTGAAATTGCGACTGTGGTCTTGCATTTTCGTGTTCGATGTTCTCCACACCTTCTGCAACTTCTCTTCGCTTTTCTGCAACTATCAGCCTTGGAATGTGGAGGTTTTCATGGCGGTAAAATGTAGAAGCCTTCTTAAAGGTAGGATTTCTCGTTATTTGTGCTTTCAAAACCTCTTTAGTCCTGATTTTGTAATGGAGCGTTTACTAATCCGTTGCATTTGAAGCGTTTGAGAAGCAGGATTCTGATTCTATGATAAATGTTTGTAAAAAAAGCTCCTTTTGCAGAAGACATTTTTTTTTTTTTTTGAGATTTATTGTGGATTTTCATGGTAGGGTTATGTTTGAGCTTTTTGAGGTGTTTCCTTTAAGATTTTGGAGTAGCTTAAGTCTTCCTGTATTTAAGAATCTGAAAGCTGATTTTCTCTTTTTTTCCCCTATTTTTTGTGATTTTAGCTTAAAATGTAGTTTCATCTCTTCCTTCCTCTGGTTTTGGGACATTCTTTCCTTTATAAACTCTTTTTATTACATTTTACCCTTCAATTTCAGCTGAGAATCCTTGAGTCTTTGTTCTGTAAATGATTAATTTTAAGAGCTCAGGGCTCCATTGAATTTTCTCTAGAAATCCTTTAGTTTTTAATCCTTCTTTTTTTGCTGGTTATATATTTGAGCTCAAATCTTTCATGTACCTGCATCTCCAGTTGCTTATATTTTTTCCTTCACATTTCTGTTTAAGCTCAGGATCTGATTACTTGTCTGAATCTTTGACAGTAGTGATTGGCACTCTTATTTTGATGAGTTTTCTCTTTGAAAGAGGCAGTACCTTGGCTCTTCACCTTCAATTTGAGCTCAAGCACCCACTCATATCTTCATTTTTAAAGTCCTCTGTCATTTCCCCCCCAATCTCCCTATCTTTGACTAACCGAAAAAGCTTTTCTTTCATGTGGGGTTCTATACTCTTTCATATGCTATTCTCTTAGATTCATATGCTATTCTCTTAGTCTTTGAGGCAAATGGCCTTTGAACTTAGAACTTTAACTTAAAAGAGTTTCTAGCCTTTGAACTTATAATTTAAACTTAGGGTTTCTATTGTAACAATAAATAATTTATTCGGAATCTTAGACTTTTTTCTTCTGGTTACCTCTATATTCTCATTTTTTCTCCAGCCCACCATGATCTAATTTTGGGTTTTCTATTTCACTTTATGCTTTGAATATTAGGCTGCCCCTTTTAGCTCTGTAAAGGTTTCTCCTGTATCTTCTCTCTCTCTCTCTCTCTCTCTCTCTCTCCACCAAATTCTTCGCGTTTTCTTCATCTTGAAAGCAATTGTTCTTATTTTTTTAATTCTGGTTTTTCTTGCTAATTCTGTAAGTGATTTCCTTTGAATCTCAAAATTTTGGTTGACTTCTGTAGTGGAGATTACTGCGGCTCTAGTTTTTCAAATCTCAGACCGTTTGTTCTGTTTCCCTTTCTCAAGCGAATGATTTCTTTTTGAAGTCTATGGTTTTTTCTTTGATTAATCTAATCTCCTTTGAATTGTAGCCTTTCTCCTTCGATTGATTCAACCATTCTACTTTGAATATACGGTTTCTTATAGTTCCATCTAATCTAGAGCACCCTTCCATGGCAAAACACTCTTTGAATTGAACTTCAACGCAAGAAAAGTCAGTTTCTCTCTGTTCTATTTCTACCAAACCCTGTTTGTTTCAAAACGGCATCTTTCAATTGATCTCTGCAATTTCCTGCTCTTATCATGCAGACAAGTCTTGGACCATTCAGATCCCTAATGCACTTGGTTTCAATGGAGATGAGCCGTTGGATTTAAATGGCAGATTTTTAACTCATAGTTTTAGGCAAAGGACCCAAGATGGCGTGGGATTTGACAGCACACCAGATGCTTGCAGCCTTATTTCCCAACCTCTCTGGGATTTTGACTCATCCTCTTAAATGCCTTAAGACGTCTCTCTGTAACTGTCTTTCCCCATTGCTTTTTTATTTCTTTATCTACCTACCTGAAATTAGGCCAGACCCAAGTTCTTTTCTGCCACTTTGACCCCTTTTGGGTCGACTTTCAGAGCTTTTAAAAGCTTGAAACGTTGTCATTTGTTCTCAAGTTCATAGCTTCTGCATATCTCTCCCAGCAATGCCACAACAAGAACCATGGCATCATTCTCTCTTATCATTTTTTGCTTCTACTTCTCATTGCCTTCCATTTTTGATGGTTTTGTTTCTGGAATTTCCCTTGGGTCAAGCCTCGCTGTCAATGCAAATAATTTCTGGGTTTCTTCTCCGAAGGGAAGTTTTGCTTTTGGGTTCTTCAATAGATCAGACGAGGAGCCTAATCAATATGGTCTGGGAATTAGATACAATTCACTGTTGATCCCAACCAGTGCGCAGAGAGTGGTTTGGTCAGCTGGTGGTGATGTTATAGTGGGTCCTCAAGCTTCTCTGCAACTCACAATGGAAGGGGACCTAGTCCTCCTCGACCCACCTAAAAGCCTCCCTGCTTGGACAAGCAATACAAGCAAGTTATCAGTCTCTCAAGCTTCACTTCTCGATAATGGAAACCTCATACTATTGGATTCAAATAACAAGATGGTTTGGCAAAGCTTTGAGACCCCTTCTGATACTGTTCTTCCAGGTCAGAACCTCACGGCCCAAACTCTCAGAGCTGCTACTCGTGACACAGTTTCGAGCTACTACAGTTTGGCCCTGGATGATACAGGCCAGTTAGAGCTGAAATGGGAAACAAGTATAAATTATTGGAGAAGTGGTACTGCTTCTTTGGGTGCGATTGGGCTTATGATTGGGTCCAATGGTGCTCTGCAACTCTATGACAAGGAGTTCAGGCCTGTTTGGTTGAGGTTTGGTGAGGACCATGACGACCCTTCTGTGGGTTTCAGGCACTTGAGGCTTGATATGGATGGGAACCTTAGAATGTATTCATGGGTCAAGGAGATAGGGTCTTGGCGTGAAGTTTGGCGAGCCATTGAGAACCGGTGTGAGGTCTTTGCTACTTGTGGGCAACAGGGGTTGTGTGTTCTTACGCCAACAGGAGAAGCACTATGCCGATGCCCCTTCAAGTCCTCTGAGATATCCAATTCCTCTGAAAATATTAAGTGTTTGGCCCCTTACCAACAGTGCAGCTCTGGTACTACATTGACAGCCCTAAAGCACACAGTTTTGTATAGTTTGTACCCTCCCCACGATGCTGTGAACTACTTGAGCCTGAGCCAATGTAGAGATTCATGTTTAAGCGACGAGACGTGCACAGCTGTTACAGTAATGGCGGATGGGAGTGGAGAGTGTAGAATGAAGACAACAAGGTTTGTTACAGGGTATAAGCATGCTTCAGTGCCTTCAATCTCTTATGTGAAGGATTGCTTAGATCCAATGGCTCTTAATCCGGGAATTATTATATCACAAACTCCATCAGTTGAACCTTCTTCGCCAAAAAGAAGACATGGGTTTTGCTTGCCATGCCTCCTTGGAGCTGCTTGTGGTACACTTTTGGCCTTCTTTGTGATCCAAATTGGTGTATGCTACTGTTTTCTCCGTCATCGGAGAAGAAAGGAGAAAATTCACATGGAGAGAAGGGCCATGGCTATATCCAGAGGACCCATAAGGCTAACTTACCTGGAGATCAAGGATTTAACCAAGGATTTTAGTGAGAAGCTGGGGTCCGCAGTTTACAAGGGAGTGCTCCCAGGAAACAGACTGGTTGCCATCAAGGAGTTAGAGAGGGATGTGCCTGAAAAACAATTCAGGAGTGTGCTTTCTATGGTCGGTAGCATACACCACAAGAACTTGGTGAAGCTGGAAGGCTACTGTTGTGACTCTGAACATAGGTAATGCACACTGATTCCAAATTCATCTATTTATCCAGCTAAAGTTTTGGTAAAACAATGTTATCTATTGATTGGGCATAATTCAGGGTGATAAAGATTAATAAACTTGTACCATATTTAACACCGGATGGGGTTTCTATGAATCGGCTGACTCATATGTACATATGTGGTGCCCCACAAAATTCATTTTAGATGATTTTTTTTTTCTAATTTTATTTTGTAGATGATCATAAATATGAAAAGAAAAATAAACTTTTAAAATTTTAAATATAATTTTTTAGTAATTTTTTATGCACCGTCCATATCTTATTTATGGACAAAACACTTTTAGATAGCATCCATCTTTAGGATGGACGTTTGTAAGTCAGCGGGCTCTTGTGCCCGCTGACTCATGAAACAATTTTCCTTTAACACCCCACCCCCCTCAACCCCCACTAAAAGGGGAAAAAAAAAAGGGGGAAAAAAATTGCAAGTAATTCTTGAGGGTTATTATAAAGGGAAAGTAAACTATCACATGCATAAGACTGCAACTATATGGTCACAAATATCTATAACCATCCAATCAGCGGATGGATGGTGATGGAGAGAGAGTGAGACCTACCAAGTACCATGCCTGGTAAGTCCCACTCCCTAACATCACCAGCCATCCTTTTGTGACCATGGATTTGGGTCATAGAAATCACAGCATAATATACAATTTCCTAGCTACAAAGAAAGTGGGGAATGCAAGCCTCAAAGGTTTTCTTGGCACAAATGTTGACAGGTACATGGTGTATGAGTACATGAAGAATGGATCGCTAGACTCATTGCTTGTTGGGCCTAGGAAGAAGAGACGCCTTAGCTGGAGACGGAGGGCAGAGATATGGACAGGGGTGAGCCGAGGCCTGGCCTACCTTCATGGCGAATGTCACCGTTTCATAGGACATGGTTCCTTAAAGCTCGAGAATATTCTTCTCGATCAAGACCTTGTGCCTCACTTAACCCACTTTGCATTGCCTGATCGCCAAGCTCCAAGAGCTGAAATCGATGTGCTTGCCTTTGGTAAACTTCTTCTTGAAATGGTTACTGGTCAAGTGGCTGGTCCTACCCTTTGCGCATGGGCCTATGAGGAGTGGGCTCAAGGCCGGGTTCAAGGGGTACTGGATGCTGACCTCGATGGGTCCAAGGTGGCGTGGGGTGAGGTTGAGAGGGTGCTAAGGGTGGCCTTTTGGTGCTTGCAGGCTCGAGCTGGGCTCAGACCATCAATTGCCGAGGTGGTCAAAGTGCTTGAAGGATTGTTAACTGTGGACCCACCCCCCTTTCCCTTTAATGGAGACCACCCATTAACAGAAAATGAAGGGGAATCACCGGAAAATGGTGGTATTGGTCATGTTTGGTCAGAATCCTGTGAGTTGGGTTTGCCAGAAAATGGTATTGGTGGTGGGTATGGTGGAGAGGGATTGGGGGATGACACCATGCTGGAAAATGTTGGGGAATCACCAAAAAATGATGGAGATGGACCTACATGGCCAGATTCCGGTGAGTTGAGGCCGCATTTTGAGACATAGTCTTTGATACCCATTCCTGGGAAATGGCAGAAATACGTTTCCATTGCAGGTTATTGATGGAGCCCCTCCATGGCAGGGTTCTTACTGATAATTTGATAGTTTCAGGAGTAAGTTAGGCGTTTTGGAAAATGGAGCATTGAGGGGCCCAATTTCTAGATAATGCAATTGGAATCGGATGAGAGAGAGAGGCCTTTTTTTCAGGCAAATGGATCGCTTCAGAAGTGTTTTAACTGTTTGTTATGAAAGGGGTTAATGGAGGTTTGGCTGCATTCTAGCCCTGTTGCTTCTTCATTTTTTTAATCGGAGTCTACATTCTTTAATGCATCATTCTTTTCATTAAACTCAAAAGTGGGGTTGGAGTTACATGAATATTTATTTGGGGGAGATGCAAAAGCTTGCTACTAAATTATGCTTTGCACGCACATGGAATGTGCGCGACCATCCCAACATTCTTAGTTCTTGAAAGGTGTGGCCTAATCTAACTTATGCAGGTGAACCCCACCTCTTCATCGCATTATATTTTCACCTGGACACAGGTCTCTCAGTCAGGTATTGAATGCGCAGAAGCAATCTTCTATATATAAAACACGATC